GAAATATCTCGAATAGTAATATGGATTTTACCCCTGATTTTGGTTATATTCTCAGATTGAAACTTCTTATTTTATTTTTAATATTCTTCTTTTTATGTTAGTTTTTCTTTTTAATACTAACTAATTAAAGAACTATTTGTTCTTTAATTTAAATTTTTTTAGTCATGTACTTAAAACTTGATAAAATTGTTAATAATAAATATTTATAGTTTTCTAGAAAATAATACATTATGCTACGTTCTCGTATATTACCTACCAGTAAAACGTTATTTCAACGGGCTACTGTAACTCAAACGAAACCAGCTGTTACTAATGAAAATAATAATGAACAAAATGATAAAATGAATGACGATCAATCATCCGATGATTCATTTAATCCACCACAAAGACCATTAACTCAACAATTTACTCATCAAGTTACAAATCAAGTTCCACCACTTGAATATATTGATTTATATAAAAGTGATTTAGCATTACGTGAATTTCTTACTAAAGAAAATAAAGGACAAATTAAAGACATGGGGGTTGAATTAGGTACTTTTCATTGGTTTGAACAAGGTCAACTAGCTAATCGATATCCACCATCATTGCATCAATTTGATCGTTATGGACAACGTATTGATGAAGTTCATTTTCATCCGGCTTATCATGATCTTATGAAAATTGGAATGAGATATGGAGTAAGTTATCGAGAAAAACAAGACGAATAAATTTTACAAAAAAAATTAACCGATTTATTGAAAAGGTTATTTGATCTAGGAGAAATATGGCGAAATAGATCTATCTCACGAGAGAACTACTCGAACTGATAAGCATCGTTTGAGCTTATAGGGATGTTTTGGTACACACTAGCAAAACTTTAAAACAGTTCGTCCGCATTGACCTCTGCACGTGAGTTAACATTTTACTGAATTTTCTATCCAGCTTTAGCCGAGTATCGAAAAATAGAGTTTCGATGTGAAAGTTTGCTTATTTAAGTGTTTCTAATGAGAAGTGTGTACAGCGAAAGCAAAATATACAGTACATCTCCTGTTCTCAAAATACATACTTACGTTCTAATGTATAGAAAACTATTTTCAGTTTCAAAAAATATGTTTTCATTATGAATACAGCATGATTCATCTGATAAAAATTATATCAAATGTTTATTGCAACGATAACTACATAATTTTATTTTTCATTTCCTTATATTCGATGAAACTTCATTTCTGTACACTTTATCTATGGAAATAAGTAGAATAGATACATATTGGTTTAGATTTCTATTAGAAACATTGATTTATAGATAGTTCTAATGACCCGAAGAATATCCAAACTTTTAAAATATTATATGGGTCAGTCGATCTATCTATCATTATAAATTTATATCAGAATTCTATTTTTTCAGTATATACCTAAGGTTGGCTCGACGGTTCAGTAAAATGACTATAACTCAACTCCAAGGATCTGTGTGAATGAAAATTTTTTAGACTTTTCCTAATCTCGTCAATGTGTCCTTGTAAGCCCAATATAAGCTCTAACGGATGGTATTACTTCGAGCGGTTCTTTTTTAAGTATGATTTAACAGTTAGTGATAGGAGATAACGAATAGCAATATGATAATGTTTTCAAAAATATGAAAATGCATCATCATTATAAACGACATATAATTTAACTATTAAAGCACTCACCAATATTGAATGTCATATTAAATCAAGACTCTATTTTCTAAAACAAAGACATATACATGAATTACATTTGTTTACTATAACGTAGAAAAACGAAATAGGTTTTCTTGTCGATTGTTCAATCCTTATAAATAAATAAATACTTACTAAAGTCACTATAATGTAAATTCCTTTATATCAATTATCGAACATCAGAAATTTCTTTTCTTTTTCCTTTTTACAATAAAAAATGGACAAATATTAAATTAGATTTTCTATTTCAATAGGTTCACTCTGTTGCTTGGGAATCATTACCAGGTTCTACGGGAAAATTTAATCCACATGGACATTTACAACATGCTGTAAGCTATATAACTTACATAACTATGACAAAATATAACCCTATAAATATTCTTTATCAAGGCAGGATTATATATCCTAATGCAAGTAGAAGCAGGTGTTTGTTGTCCATTATCCATGACTTATTCCGGTTATCCAATTCTTCATCGTTATCTTCTTTGTACGAGCCAACAATTAACAAATAGTTTTCCATTAGAACGAATTTTATCTCGTAAATATGATAAACGATGTTTACCAGCTAATATGAAAACAGGATTAACAATTGGTTAGAAAAAAACCTTTTTTTTTTTTTTACAAAGAAATGTTTTAAAATTTATTTATTAGGAATGGCATTAACTGAAAAACAAGGTGGTAGTGATGTTCAAACCAATACAACAAAAGCTTATTGTGATAATGCACAAGAAAAACGTTATATTCTAATTGGTCATAAGTAAAACAAAAAAAACTAAAAAATTTAATTTAATTTAATTTATTGTAATCTATTAGATGGTTTTGTTCAGCACCAATGAGTGATGGTTTTCTTGTTCTTGCACAAATTCAACATGATGATAACATGAATCAATCATCATCTTATAGTAAACCATCATGTTTTTTTGTTCCACGTTGGTTGCCGAATGGTCAACGTAATCCATTTTATATTCAACGTTTAAAAGATAAACTTGGTAATCGTTCAAATGCATCAAGTGAAATTGAATTTAATAATACTCAAGCTGTAAGTATATGAAAACAAAGAACTATTGAATTAAATAAAAGAAACAAAAAAAAAATTTTTTCAAGTGGTTATTGGGAAAAGAACATAATGGCGTTAAAGTTATTATTGATATGATTAATGGTACACGTTTAGATAGCGCGATTTCAAGTGCTGCATTAATGCGACAAGCTTTAGTGCAAGTAAATAATATTTATTGTAGAAATAAAAAAATGAATGATTAAAAACATGTTTCTTTCTTATATTAGGCTACTTGGCATGCTCGTCATCGTAAAGCTTTTGGTCGATTATTAATTGAACAACCATTAATGAAACAAGTTTTAATTGATTTATTACTTGAATCTGAAGCAGCTACAACTCTTGTTATGTATCTTGCAACACTTTATGATATGACATATAATAATATGTATTCGAATAATACCGGTGAAAAACAAGAATTAGCTCGTATAGCTTCAGCTTTAGCTAAATTTTGGATATGTAAACGAACACCTGAGACAACATATGAAGCATTAGAATGTCTTGGTGGTGCTGGATTTGTTGAAGAATCAATAATGCCACGTATATATCGTGAAGCACCAATCAATAGTATTTGGTAAATATATAAGAGAGCACTCATGAGAATATTGAGAATTACCTCAGTATATGAGGTATTGGTCAAAATTTCAATTTTTGACTTTTTGTTGTACGTTCATAAGATCATCATCTGAAACTACCAAATTCACATTTTCAACTCGTTTGCATGTACTATGGTAAATTTAGTTCATACCGATTTTTAAGCACTATCAAGAAATTTTTTAACAATCGTGCCATAAATGTTTATTAGGATGACGCTTCAACAAAGTAGAGACTTTTTCATGCCGTATACTAAAATATAGAGCATCAAGGGTGGGTGTGAGTGTAGTGTAAGTGAAGATCTACATCTACATAACCGTGTAGATAATTTATCTCTTTTTGTGAATCAAGAGAAAATTTATTTTGCATATTGTTTATTCTGTTCAAGCGAGAAGAGTGCATAAATCGTTATAAGACGATATTATCGTATGGAGAAACCATATTTTGTTAATGGTGGGATATAATCAATAAAAATGTTTTTCAAGAAAGAAATTAGATATTACGACAGCTTTCAGTACACTCGATAACCTATGTTTCTATGTGTTTATAATAATATTGCACGTAAAGAGGAATGTTAAGGCTTCATAAAAACTGTCTGATGCTTCTAAACTTTACCAGATAAAACGTTTATACAGATCTGATTTTTCAGGGCACACGGCTATTTACCGAGATGAAAAAAAAAACAATAGACTTCTGTGATAGTTTTCTAATGAAACCCCTTGAAAAATCGATTTTCGTATTTTTTCTCAGAAAATATTTTAATTATGAAAATATGCCTTTGGGTTTTGGCTATCACATATTAAAAACCACAGGTCTCCATCTTATTCCTATGGAAACGTATCCAAAAACCTTCCAAATACATTGAACTCTATCACTAATAATAGTTGTATCCAGCCATGACAAAAAAGAATTTCATTGAGATTTCAATTAGTCAGAACACCTCACATATAATGCAATATCTATTTTAGGGAAGGTAGTGGTAATGTTATTTGTTTGGATATTTTACGTTCCATGAAAAGATCACCCGAATCGCTGCAAGCGTATATATCATTTATGCATGAAACTAAAGGTTCAAATAAACATTTAGATAATGCACTAGAAAATGTTGAAAAACATTTATTAAAAAAAAATCTTCCATCTGATATGCTCGAACGTCATGCTCGAACTTTAGCTACGCAATTAGCATTATGTCTTCAAGCTGGTTTACTTGTTCGTCATTTGCCACAAACAGTGAGTGATGCTTTTTGTTCCTCACGTCTTGGACCTAATCGTGGTTCAATTTTTGGTGATTTACCCATGGATATTGATACAGATACACTTTTAAAAAGATTACCATTCTAAATTTTTTATTATATTATGTATACAAAAAAAAACAATTTTTTTTCTTTTTGTTATAAATAAATAAAACGTAATTGGTTAGTTCTAAACAAATATATATATATATATATATTAAATACTAATGAATAAATTATATCTGAGCAGAATAAGCTTAGATATTATTCAATATTTAATAAATAGAAAAAAAATTTCATTATCAAAAATAACTTTTTAGGCTCATCGATCTCTCTTGTATATCTTATGAAAAATGAAAAGAATAAAAATAAAAAATACTGAGCTGATTGTTACGTTTTGTTTTTCATTAATCCGACATTTACATTGCATTTAAAGGTCTTTTATATTCCATAGTTATTAACAAATTGATCATCAAGATCTTCTTCAGAATCATCATCTATATATGGAATTATTCCTCGACCTTCATATGCTCCTGAGCTATTGACTAAGTTTAAATTTGTTGAAAGATTTTGTATTTGCAGAAGACGACGAACTAATGCAGAAAATTCAGCATAATCGACTTGACGATTACCATCTAAATCTGCTTCTCGAATCATATCATTAAGTTCATCATCAGTTAATTTTTCGCCTGCAAAAATTATTCGAGGAAAAAGTTTTCGTTTTAATTTATATTAACAAAAAAAAAAATCTCTATTACCAAGACTCTTCATCACAGAGCGAAGTTCCATTTCAGTAATAAAACCATTTCCATCTTTATCAAAGATACGAAATGCTTCATTAACTAGTTCATCATTGAATATTTCTAATTTACTTTCGCCTTTATGACTCATCATTAATTTAAATTCATCAAAATCTATAAGACCATTACCTAAATATTGAAATGGAAAGAAAAAAAAAACCTAAAATTTATTCTCAAATATTCTTCAACTAACCATCTTGATCAACTTCTCGTATCATTTGTTCTAATTCAGCAGGAGTTGTTTGATAACCAATTGAATGAATAACATACGCTAGATCTTTTGTACGAATAATACCACCACCAATTCGATCAAATAAAGCAAAAGCTTCTTTGAGTTCTATTTCAAATACAAAATTATCTTTGTATAAACATGTCAATTATACATACGGTTCTCTTGTTCAATTGAAATAGAATTAGCTCGCATTGTCATCAGTAAAATTGATAATAATAGTCAACAATGGCTGTGCCGAACATCAATAAATGTATAAATGAGAAATAAAGAAAAGGAGACAAACAAGAAATTAGGTTTGTCACAATCGTTGATAAAACAATGAAGCGAAAGCGAAGAAAAACTATTTCTAGGCCAGCTGCTCTCTGAAAATCTTAGTGTGATACTGTTTATGTATTTTTGTTAGTTAGTTCTCTGTGTATATGCTTGATTTCGTCGCTGTTAATATTTTCTATATGTATGTTTTCTTTGTATTTCTCTATCTATCTATTACTTGAGATGTGCTAGTGCGTTTCTCAATTGCTGTACGAGCAAATACCATAAACATAAAGAGCAGGATTGGTTGAAGACATGCGCGTTGGCACGTCATCCAACAAATATTGGAACTTATAGAATAGGGAACATAAGTCTTCTCTATCGTCATTCTTACAGGCGAAATGCATAACACAACAATTTTTTTTTCTTTGCATATATATATATATATATAATATGTTTTGTGCTCTACGGGAGTCTGTTGTTCTATTACGTTGCTTATAAAAAAAAAGAGACAAAAAGGACATATTGTTTGCCTATCATCATCATTCTACTCAATATGCATAACAAGTGAAAACGATGACGTAGTAGTATATTTGAAGTAGTTTTAAATGGTTTAATCGCTTACAAAAAAAAAAGAATATACGAAATATGAGGAGCAAACGATAGAGAAACAAGACTTGATATAATATAACACTTGCTGGTGTTGTTATTTTTTGTTTTTTGAGGATGATGCTACCGTTCTAAATAATATATTTGATGTATTTTATATTCAAAAAAAAATGATCTTTTATTTTAGGTATTAGTAATAGCAAAAGAAAGAAGTCTGTTTAGAGAAAAACATTCGAAGAATTGTCTTTCTTAGCATTCTATTTTTGTCATCGTTATCAACACGCCAGTATACCACCATCCCATCATATTATATATGCACATCTTATGGTCTCTTTTTCTTTGTGTCTCGTATCCATAAGAGAAGAGAAGTTAGTCGTTTGTTCTTTGGTTAATACAACCTCAATATGATACGAGTGGTTTATTTCTTTCTCTTTGATATCCGCTTTTGTATATATGTGCCCTAACATGATGTGCGCAGAAATATTTCTCTTGTTTTTTTCGACAACATACTAGAGTTTTCTTTTTTTTTCTCCTCCTTTCTCGACAATTGTACAGTTAGTTCTCTGTGCTTGCTCGACGTGCACATTTGGTATCAAGGAACATATATGTACAGAGAATTTTCTCGGCTTATTATTTATAGGAAACAAACGACGTAGTGCTGTCTATCTTGCTTTTTCTTTTTTCTTTTTTTGCTCTGTTTGTAGAGGTTGTACATCAGGAAGCAACAGTAGATATTTGCCAAGTAATACATTCTTTCTCTACAACTAAATAACATACATATAATCATGGTGAGTATAGATCGGTTTTTTTTTTATTTAAGAATAAAATAATAATTTCGAAAGATGATTTTAGGCTGAAGAGGAACAAGAATTTCATTTGAGCGAGGAACAAGTATCGGAAATTCGAGATGCTTTTAATATGTATGATAAAGACAGAAAAGGTGAAATATCAACATCCCTTCTTGGTACAGTCATGAAAAATCTTGGACATAATTTAAAACCTGATCAATTGGCTGAATGTATCGATGCAGTTGATGGTGATGGTATGTTAGTTAAAAATTTATTTTTCTGTACTAGAATAAATTATCGTTGTTATTGTTATTTGTAGGTAGTGGTACTGTTGACTTTGTATGTATACGTATAAGAAAAAACGAAAGGTTGTATGTTGTTCTTGTTTATTTTCTTTTTCTGTTAGGATGAATTTCTTGCTTTGATGGCAAAGAAAACAAAAGAGGCTGAAGATGAACGAGAGTTACGTGAAGTATTTCGTGTATTCGATAAGAATAGTCGTGGTGTTATTGATGTAAGCAAGAATAAAAAGTCTTTTTGATATTGATCTTTAATTTTAATTTAATATTTTTTATTTGAACTTTTAGGTAGCAGATTTAAAAATGATCTTCAAGGCACTCGATCCCGATATGCCAGATGATGAAGTTGAACAAATAATTTCAGAAGTCGACGAAGATGGTTCAGGCACTGTTGATTATGAAGGTTAATCATCACGATTTATTTTAATTTTTATATAATTTTTTTTTTTATTTTAAATAGAATTTTACAAATTGATGACAGGTTAACAAAGTGCAAACATCATCAACATCAACATTTCTTTTTCGTCATCGACAGTGACTTTTTTCTTTCTTTTTTTTTTACTAACAGTTCTTTAAAAATCGCGTGTAAACCTCTTTTTTAATCGTTCAATAATTATCAAAATAAAAAAAATTATCTTGGCACCTAATATTATTTCTATTATTTGTAAAAAAAAAAAAAAAGAAAGTAACAATTACAGTTTTTCTTCTTATTACTCAAACATTTTTGTCCCCAAATATACCCATCGGCATTAAGAGAAACCTTTCATTTCTCGACTTTTTTTCTCTGGTTTCTTAAACGACTCACAACGACGAGAACAACATCTGTTTGTACAATAAACAAAATACTTTTCTCTTCGGACTGTTATTATTCTTAAAAGTATAATATGAAAAAAAATTGAAGAAAAAAAAACTGAGAAAAAAAAGAAAAATATACCAATAATGCTTTTCGATGACTTTTAATGTTATATTGCCATACATCTCACACATCCACTAAACTGCCGGAAAAAAAACATTTTCAAGTGAATTGTGATGAAGTTTGAACATTAAAGAAAAGCAATGACAGTTTTACCATATCTTGACATAAAAGCAACACCTATACGTTCAGTTGAATCACCTCGATCCTTAAGAACACAATCATTACCACGTATAACTAATCCAAATAATTCTCCACGTAAACAATCACCTAAATCATCTGATGATTCGAATAAATTATCAACAACATCATCATTAATACGCAGCTCAATTCCACCGGCACGTACACATACACCAAAAATAAAAATTACTCGTCGATCAGATGACATATTAAAAAAATTACCACATGAAAAAACAGATGGTATTCGTGCACATAATGCTATTTGGAAACCATTAACACGTGAACTTCCTGATTATGATTTTTTATGGGAACCATTACAACGTGAAGATATACGCCATCAATATGATTTTTATATAGCACCACAACGTATAATAGCTAGTCGACCTGATGAACCATTTAAAATGACAACAATGTTTGAAACTGAACATAGACATCATCATAATTATAAACGAGTACGAGCTATGCAACAACGACAATGGAATAAAGAACATATACAATATACAATTTATCCTTATTCAAAAATAGTAGAACGTGAAATGTACAAGTATGTTTTCTTATTATTAATATTTTCATTTTTATTTATTTTAATTTTTGTTAAAAATTTATATTAAGTAAACACATTAGATCAACACTTAAAGAACAAATGGAAGAAAAAATTCAAGCAGACAAAAATGAACAATTAATTAAAAGTCTTGAATGTCAAAATCTTATTCAACGAGATCGACAAGATTTAGAAGACGATAAACAAAAGCAAAATAAGCGAGCTCAATTATTATTTAAAGTTACTACTAGAAATAAAGAAGTAATTGTAAACATAGATACACGTATAAATATATAATATTATTTATTTTTCTAGTTGATGGAAAATAAATGGGAATATGATCAATGGAATCGTATACATCAATGGCATGTTGAACGAACTATACTTGCTGATGATCCAATCAATTGGAGCAAAACTATGACTTAATTAATTTTATTTAAAATTTCACGTATTATATATAATCAATTCATAATTCTTTTTCTAATACTATATTTTTTTGCTTTCGATCGTAATGATCCCATTCCTGTTTTTTTTTATTCTGTTGTTGGTTACTAGAGAAAAACAGTCGTAGTTGTCAAAACAAAGAAATTTCTACTGTCAATCTTGCCAGACATTAGCAGGCGCGAATGATGAAGGAAGTATCTACTTGTAAATATTAATGATATATTCATCAGTTAAAAGACATAGATTTACATGAATAAAAGACATTTATATATATATATATATATATATGATAAGAAAAATCGATCATTATTTGTACTATCAAAGAAATGGTCAATGTTATTTCTAGAACTTTTCTTTTCATATCATCGTCCATTAACTGTATGTATGAATTAGTAAACGAATGATAAATACTATTAATCAAGATGATTAACATTGCTGTCAAAAAAATGTTACTATTGTATCGTAACATGATGCATTATATATTACTATATGTCATGATTAGTATATGAAAAACTTTTTTTGATAAAAACGCTTTTGTATAGATATTCTATGACATGCTATCAAGCAACTTTTTGTTTTCAAATGTTGTCTAGAGATAAGCATGTTTTTTTTTTCAATCATATGTTGTCTTCATCGAGACAAAAATTCGATATAGCCTGATAAAAATATGATAATTATGATTTTCTATGACAAAACCAATCATACATATACACATTGTATAAAATTTGAAGATAATATAGAATAATAATCGTAGATAATTGCTTTTATACTTTAAAGTGATATGACATATAATGATAATATAATAGGACTTGTATATATGATATATTTAAATTAAATTAAATAATACTCGAAGTTATTTTCTACTAATTATATAATAGTTGGATCTTTTTAATAGAGCTTTCGAGTTCAACCGACCCATCATCAAGATCAGCATGATGTTGTATTTCTGTTTATTAAACTTCAAATTAAACCAATAATAGTGATATAATAGTGATGATGGATCGGTTGAACTCGAAAGCTCTATTAAAAAGATCCAACTATTATATAATTAGTAGAAAATAACTTCGAGTATTATTTAATTTAATTTAAATATATCATATGTACAAGTCCTATTATATTATCATTATATATCATATCACTTTATTGGGTTAATTTGAAGTTTAATAGGCAAAAATACAACATCATGCTGATACTGATGATGGGTCGGTTGAACCCGAAAGCTCTATTAAAAAGATTCAACTGTTATATAATTAATAGAAATTAACTTCGAGTATTATTTTATTTTATTTTATTTAAATATGCTTTTATACTTGTCCGACTATGAGAAAGATATGCTTTTATCATCAAACTATGGGCTAATTCTGGAAGGACTAAATACTTTCATGGCTAAAATAGGCAATTGAAACAAATGTATATTCTTTAAAAGCGATAAGAACAATTACACAATTAGTGCCACTTGAAAATAAATTGATTAAGTTAGTAAGGTCGAGTGATGATGAATGACAGTTTCGAAACTAATACATAGTGTCTATCTAAAAAGGACTATGCTGAATCAAGGTCAAGCAGAACATTTTTTGAACTTATTCGTTCGAAGTTTTTTTAGGTTTTCATATACTCAATGTTGATAAATATCATTGGTTTTGAATAATGGTAAAAGTAACCGTCTTATTGTCTTTTATCACATTGCGGGCACTATTAGATTGTTTTAAAAAAATTCAAAGAATCGTGGTGTCTTCAAAGGTTGAACTAAAATTTGATACTAGTGGATGGCATTTCTTTGGTTATCCAAACTGTAAAAACTATCCTATTCTAGTGAGTCTAAAAAAGTTGGGGAATGCGTTACCACAATGTTTCAGTTATAAATCTTACCAGAACTTCTAAGAAAAACTTCACCATGGTGAGATCTTTCTTCTTAGCTACAAATTCAATTGAAAATATTTTGTTCGAACTTAGAAAATTTTTAGCAGCTTCCGAGATTTTTCTATGAAATTTCACTGTATGTTTTATTATAGAGCAGAAGTGATTAGACCAAAAACGAGTACCGAGTTGAAAAGGTCAAGACAAGAACAACACTCTGAGAGATATAACAGCTGAGAGTGATGACCAACTCTTCTAAACTATGGCTCCCTTCTGGTACAGTTAAAGCGTATTATTTGCTATCAATCAATAAATCCAAATAAATCTGCTGATTTGAATAAATGCGATAGATCCCGATAGTTCTTCGAATAAATCCTAGAAGAATGAAATGATGATCAGAAATCTTTGAACGACTTTCGTCAATTACTGATGAATAAGCAAGAGCTCTAATAAATAATTTTCTTTTTCTTTAATTGTATAATGAAATAAATGCTAGTATTCGAATACTGGTTTCACATTTAAAGGTTGTCTTGAAAGTAGATCAAGAAGTTTTATTTTCTTCAAGTATCGTTCTTTGTTTAAGTTCAACGTAATGAAAGTTTTATCTGACATTAATATAAATGATTTTATCGATTCATTATATCATTTTCTTTATCTGAAATTCAGAGGAAATGAAAAGAAATGTTAAAGAAAAATCTGTTAACACAATCATTGCAGGATTAAAGTGTGAAAGATGATTTAGTTGTTGCTGCTAAACATCGAGATACAATATTATTTGCTCTATTGTGAAATATATTTCTTCATCATTATTTTACTCCCTTCACCAGAAATGCAATAAAAATTTAGTTCATATATTATGACGAGACGTTTTTCATATACGATCTTTCGTTGTATATCAACAACGTCTGTCACGATCTGTAGTGTGGAGAGAGAGGTGTGACTGACGAAGTAAGTCCTCTAATTGTTCAATCTATTTCAAGTCGAGACTATATGAGTGATGTAGATCCAAATGAGCTATGAGTACCGTAAAAAGAATTCTTGTTTTTAGCTTATTGCTAGAGAAATGCTACACTGTTATAGTATTTTTTAAATAAATGTCATAGCGTCACCAAGAACACTAGAAAAACTGATTTCCGAGTTTCAACTTAAAACTTTGCATAGAGGCTTATGTTAATGACAGTAGTTTTTCAATGAAAGTTCTCGGTGTTTTGATCTGTATCTATCTCGAAAGAAGAACATAAAATCTGTGGATTTATATGTATGGTATAAAATATGCCCTATTACTATCGTTGCATCTTATGATAGGAACAGTGATAAGATTTGATATTTTCGCAAAAAAAATATTCTCATTAGGGCTCGTTTCTATGCAATGTTCAAATCGACATTGGAAAACCAGTTTTTCTAGTATTTCTACGAGAGACCATAGAATTCGTTTAAAAAATATCATAAAAATACAGCATCTCCGTAGCAATACACTAAGGGCAACAACTCTTTTCAAGATATTCTTAGCTCAATTAGATCTACACAATGCACATGGTCTCAACTAAAGTGCGATTGAACCGTTGGAGGACTTTTCTCATAAGATAATTATCACGTCTGTGACATGTCGTTGCTAAGATGTCTGTCATGTTTGTGGTGAACTATTTCTACTATTTCTGTAATAGCTTGTGACCTTTTCATTGTAGTATCTATCACAAACAGTGACGTTTCATGGTAATATCTGTCATGATCTGTGGAAGAAGAACAATGCAAGTTTCTGTTCTATATACTTTAACACCTCTTTCAGATCCTGTTTCATAAAAAAAAGAATATTATTAACGTTAACGTTGAGTTTAATGTTTTCGTACCGATGTTTTCGACAAAATTCTTCTAAAATCGATAAATTGAAATCTTTTTTGATAATAGTAGAAAGTTATAAAATTTCAATTAGAAAATTTATGTAAACTATTCAACATCATATTTAAATAATAGAATTACTGATATTCTCTGATGAAGTGTTATTCGTTCTTATAACTATAAAATTAATTAAATAGATGACTGATTTCTATTGTAAGATGACATTTTTTCATATGCCCGACTATTATTCATTCTTTCTCTTTGTATGTGGTATAAAAATGCAAAGAATGACAAAAGATTATCTGCTTTTTTTCCTATCTTGGTTGTTGTATCAATGAATATGTACATGCAATCTAGTTCTTATTCTCATTCCTTTGTCATTTACTACTTAGTACTATTTCATTGTTTGGTGATGGAAAAAGTATAAAGATCAAAACCTAAAAACAAGAAGAATACATAACCAACACCATTGTTAACTGAAATCAAACTTTCTAACTTATGCGATTTTGTTTAGCAACATTTTTTTTAAATATTTATTCAACTAATTAATTAAGTTTTATTTCAAAATAAAACGCAATATCAAACCATTCATAATTTATTCGTTCACCATCTGTTCATAGAACACATATGACAATGTATTAAGTAATGTTTTATAAAAATAAATAAAAAAAGGAAAAAAAGGATCGTTGCCTAATTTTTTTTTCTTATTTCCGAGATCATAAGATGTTAATCGTATCATTAGAAGAGACCGATAAGAATAGTCGATTATAATTGTGGTGTGCCGTCATTCAACCAAGTGTGTTCTTCCTATTTATAACCGATCCGATATTATAGAAAGCATACAAACGATAAAAAGAGCACAAGAAAAAAAAGAGAAAGAGTATACTTCTCGACACTCGTTGTTAGAACAACATTGTATGATCTAAGTATGCTCGACTAAAATCAGCTAACTGTTGACTTACTAATAGGAATATAACAGTAAGCAATAGATACAGTGTGTTAATTAATGATTAAATCCCAAGAAATAAAATGACACGACGAAAATATGTTTCGCATGAAAATGCAACTGACCGAGGAAAATTAGATAGCGCTCGAATTAATTCACGACAAAATCTAAAAGATAAATCAATAATAACACGTGTTAAAGTAAGTAAAGCTTTTGTCTATTGTATAATTATAACCATTTTTCTTATCGAGTATTGTATAATAAGAATGATAAGTAGAGAAAACAAAAGAAATAATACATTCATGCATATAGTAAGATGTTTTTCAACATGATAACTTCTACATACATGTTTAGAGTTTGTTGTCATTATAATCAAAAATAACAGACGTTAATAAGATCAGTCATACGACCGGATCAATATGGATATTGCATTATTAATATCAATGTTCTACAGTGACGAATATAAGTTAAGAACGGTTGTATTCTTAAGTTTCCTGCTCGATAGTAATAGCTAGCAAGAATTTGAAAAAAAAATATGTGTAGCTGAAAGGACTCTCTATGAGGAATGGTAGACTCACATGTTCCAACAAGACTGTTTGGATGATGGTCTGCAAAAATCGTGACCCACAAAGCTAGCTTTCTAGTTTTCATTCAGAACTTCGCGAAAAAGATTTTATTTGACAGAGCAAATATTCTCGAGCATAATGAGGCATCTCTGATCTCTCTATGATCATCATTCATCGAACTACATTCAATTTTCAGAAGGTTCATGAAGTATTTTTCTCTTCTTTTTATTGAAAATTTTAACGTTGCTGTCAACGATCCATCAGAAAGCATAAAAATACAGCTGCTCTCAACTTTTGTACGCCAATACATATACTTGAAAAGAAATATTTAATAATTTAAGTTTCGTTTCTTTTCAAATGGTTTTATGGCTAAAAAATCAAGATACTACTCAAGTATTAAGAATATTAGAGTAAGTAATACTCTTGATGATTAACAGAACGAAATTGAATCTAATGAACGATCCTTCTTGAATATTATTTCCATATTAATTAATTTATTTTTTCGACGCATACAAAAAACTTCTATGTGGACAATACATTTGTCCTAAAACGACGTTGTTAATACTGTAAAGTTTATTCTTCTTTGCGATTCAAATTAATCGTTTATTCGATTGGAATCGTAAAATTGATATATTCAGATTTGTAGTAAAAGACTTATATCTAAGTTAGTGTCGTAGACTCAGTATTTCATAGCAAATCTGACTGTATCAGTTTCACTTACACTATATCAAAAATAGTGACAGAGGTACTTGAATTCCTTAAATAAAACGCCTCAAAACCTTTCCCTCTAACCTGACTGATAGTAAAAGCAACGCTTCATTTTTCTGTACTATTATATAATTGTTCAACCAATATTATGATAGTAAAATTTCAATAAGACCTGTTTGGTTATCATGCAGGATTGTTACATTAGTTCATATTATCTTCGATATATATTCTCTTTGTTTTGCTCCTCTCTGTTCTTTTTTTTGTCTCTAATGCGTAGCTGCCTATATGCATTAAGATATATACAAAGTGATGATGGCGGAACAAAAACGAAATACAGAAACAAATAGCTCATGTGTAATTTTCAGCCTCTTATCGACTTTCCCGAAGTCATTCAGACCATCTTAAATTTATCCTAAGAGAAGAAGCTTCCTTCACACAAACAAAACATAATTCATCATGAATAACTGTAGCTTGAATATTACGTGCAGTGTATGCATTAATGTAAAAACGAAAGTTTTCCTTATTCATCTAAAACAGAGATGAACAGTGTCAAGATTTAACCTAACTTTATTTCTTTAAATTTCTTGAGAACGCTCTAATAGGCTACAGATGTAAAAAGAACAAAAAACAGATACATCTTTATATATAGATGTAGACGGTTGAACGTTAAAAGAGATGGAAAAAAAAGAACAAAGACAAGAGACGAGAAGAATAAAGAGAAAATCAATAAGAGAATACATGTCGAAGACAATATGAACTAATGTAACCGTCACACATCATAATCAAATAGGTCTCATTGAAATTTTATTATTATGATATTAGTTGAAAAATGATATAATAGCGCAGACAAATCGAGCGTCACTTTTATTATCAGTCAATCTAGAGAGGAAGTTCTTTTAAGCTTTTTATAAGGAAGTACATCTGTCACTACTTTTGGTGTTGCCCTAAATATAAATCAAATGCAATGAAAAATTTAGAAAAAAAATTTTCTTTCCACATCAAAAGATGCATACATTTACGAGAAAAGAGTTTTTTTTATTATTGGATTATTATCATCTTATAAAACAACTTTAAAAATGTTTCATTCTTTTTAATTAGTGGTTTATGTCTGAATTTCTTGCTGTTACGGCTGCAGCAGCTGCTCGAATTATATTTTCTATACATGGTATCGCAGCTATTTGGCGAGTAGCTTTAGTCTATAAGCAAAACAAATATTGGTTCCAAGCTATAACGTAAAAAAACCCAATTTATTGATTTATATATAGACTTAATTTATTTTACTCATTGTAGACTTTTTGGCATACCAATTGAATTTTTTGTTACACTTTATGTAAATAATGGTCATGAATGGAAATGGTATTAAAATATTATATGTATATACAGCGTGTAACAAAATTTTTGCAACATTTTCTCTTGTAGAAATATCCTAGCTGAGAAATGATAGATTATCCTAAGTTTTCTGTTAGAAGATGCAACACGTGTTTTTCTAAGTGCTACCGATCTTAATTTAAAACAACATAAAAGACACTTTTTATAGGCTGTATGCTGTGATTCAGTGCATAGAATCTACTTCTTACATGTTTTCTACTATTTTTGCGACGTTCTTTACAAGTTATGAAGGGGGACATGCATGAAATTTGGTATCTGTAAAATCAATCCTCCATAAATGTTCATTCAGCAGGATCTATGAGTGCCCAATCACAATGTATATTTATGCGGGAACAATAACTCTTGTAAGTTATTATGACCAAAAACGACCTTCTTAATAGTATTCAAATCCTAGCGTCATTTGAACTCTTTTACCAAACATTATCTGGATTGTAAATAAAAAGACAAAACTACTATTCACTAAAATCCATCAAAAATGGATTCCATCTGATCATAAGCAACATTTTATAGGATGTCCTATTACAAGGGCATGAGCTCCAATGCGTAGAGAGATGTAAATAGATGACATGAATGCTCATTGCCAACATACGCACATATCATATGGTTTTTTTTTCTCTTGAATTGAGATTTTTAAACGCTGAAATAGTATGCGCAAGTCTTCGTTGGATCCGTCATAAGCGGTAACACATGGTAGATTACGATTGATGTGTTTTCTCTTCCTTTTTACTACACAGAAACGTTGAATTTCGATTGCAAACTGTGTTTGGTATATTTTTCTCAAAGCGAATTTTTTTATTTTTTCATCTACTAGTTCGTCCCATATTCCTCAGCAATTTTACATGCTAGGATATTCAGAAAGGCTTTGAATTAAAGAGAAAACTGTACTTCACAACTTGACAAAGCAGAGCTTTTTTATGTTCGATTTAGTTCTTGAGAAAAATGGACTATTTTTTTAATAGGAGTACTCCTGTTGTTCGAAGCTTTTCGAAAAAAACTGACGCCAAAAATTCATAAAAGAAGAATTTGAAAAATTAGCCTCTGTTAAGTGTAGTAGCAAGTGCTGGCTACATTTTGATGCTAACCTAAGATCCGTGTCCTTAGACTTAAAAGGAAAATCTAGAGCACGTGAACACCTAGTTTTTGCCTCTTTCTATAAGGATAACTCCTGGAGAACTCAATATGTTGGGCTGAAACCGTTACCGTAAGCTTCCTGCTATTTTCAGTTAGATTCATTGTTCTGGATCGGAAACAAGCATCTGATAGAAGTCTTTATCAATATTGATTATAATTTAGTTTATAAATTTAACAAATGAGTATGATACAGGATAATAAACCTAACAGTATTTCAGAAATAATAAGTCTGTCATCGATTTAATCTCATCTCTTAACTTTTCAGTGTTTTATGTAGAATCTTTATTTAAAGATTCTTAACAATAGTTCGTCACATTGTATGATTAAGGCACAGTCGCCCAAAAATAAATCATGCTTGCTATTGAGGCATAAATGGTGTGCATCTCTATAATATTAAGATCCATTGAATTTTTGTAGAGAAAGAAATATTGCATCTTTTGATACAAAGCTTAGGATAACCTATTATTTCTCAGCTCAGATATTTCTATGAGAGAAAATCTTGTGAAGTTTTTGTTAAATTTAGTGTATATAAATATATGTGTAATCAGTATATGAAAACAATTTTTAGGTTTTGTCCGTCTGTATTCTTTTATTTATGTACAGTTATACCAAGTGTTTGGTTTCTTGAACTTGATCTAGCTGAAAGACGATCAAATTTTAATGTTACACAAGCACTTGGATTAATTCCAGTAGCACAAGGAAGTATTAATCTTGATAGTGAAGATACATTACCAGTAAAAAAAGACATGATTGAATATTTTTACTTTGAAGAAAAAAAAAAAACTTTTTAATATTTATATTGAATAGCTTGTTCCATGGAAAATTCCAGCTGAAATGTGGACACAAATTGTTGAACAAACTCTTCTTCTTGTTCTTATTATTGGACGTTGGTTATTACCTGTTGGTAAAACAATGACACGAGATCAACTTTCTCAATTATTACTTGTTTATATTGGAACAGCAGGTAAAATTGATTTTCTTTGTTTTTTTCCTGTTAATTTTCATTTAGTTTTAATAGCGGATATTATTGAATTATTTGAAGCATTTAAAGAACCTGGTGTTCAACGTAATTTAACAATTGTTCATCTTATATTAGTAGCTTGGTCAGTAAGTTTAATGCAATTTACACTTGTTGTTACATCGACAAAATCACGTAAAAATCGTAGTGGTGGTTTTAAACAAACAGATCCAAAAGAACTTGAAAAATGTTTTAATTGGCGATTATTTTGGGAAACTGAATTATGGGTAAACATTTTTTTTGTTTTTCTTTCTCCTGTTCTGTTCTTTGTTTATTTTAAACATCATTTTTTTAATCTAGGCTCTTTCAACAACAATTCTTTTACAAGATGGTCCATTTCTTTGTCTTCGTCTTGGTTTAATAATTCATTATAAAATTATTTCACAATCAAATATATTTTTTACAACAAAAAATTTTCTTGTTGTTCTTTTACAACTTTATCGTGTTTGTGTTATTATAATTGAACAGAAAAAACGTCAACAAGTAACTCATTCAAATGAAAAAAAACAACAACATCAACTACCTGTTGTTCCTAAAAAATCAACAATAAAACGACAAGGAAGAACAGGTAAAATATTAACAAGATCAGTTGGTAGTTTACCTGCACAATCAATTTCAATGTCAAATATTCGTCCGCATAGTTTTGTTAGTGAAACTGATTCAAATGAATATACAGATCCTTTACCACGACGAAAATGTTCTCCTGAATCATTTCCAATTCCACCACCACTGCCACCACCTCGACCAAAAATTCCACATTCCAAATCATTAACAATTGTTAGTTTAAATAATCATCAAATGTGTACAGCAGTATAACAGGACATCTTTGTCAGTTTTAGTTTTTTTTCTGTCACAGCCTTAATAGGCAAAGTCTTGTCTTTTAATGTACGTGTGACTGTATGTATATACATGAAGTTTGAATATAATTGATGGAATTATAAATGAATAAATAGTCCTTGTCAAATAAAAATAAACCTTATGAAAATGGATACAAATTCAATGCTCAGTATTATATTAAATTATCAATATAAAATTTAGTGTTTGGTAACTAGTAGATTTCTCAGTAAATCAATCATTTGTGGATGTGGAATTGAGTGTGACGTGTAAGTGTCACTGTCAGGAAGGCCTATACACATAACCTTAAATTCTGAGTCTATGAAAATTAATTACTCAGTTTTTCAAACTATTTACTTTGCTGAAACTAAATTCTTTTCATTGAACAACAATTACTGATGAAGCATCTACCAAAACTGATACCCATCGTTTGACTTCATATTGGGTTCATAAGAAGGCTCCGATAAGACTAGAAAAGTTCTAAAAGGATTCGTGCCCATGAGATCTCTGTAGCCGACTTATGAATGTTTCACTGAATTTTTGATCTAGTCTTATGTATTCTTAAAGTCATGAGACATATTTATGGGTAAAGTTGTAGACGAAAATTTGATCATTTGATTCTTCGGTAAATATCTAAAATTTTATTGCAAATTCAGACAATCGGCCATAACTCGACTCCAGAGATCCATAGGCGGGAACTCTTTCAGGATTTTTCCAGTCTCACCGAGATTTCTTTGTGAACTCGATATAATCTCAAATAACATGTATCAGTTCGACTAGTTCCTTCATGAGTGTACAAGAAAAAATGTATTGAACATTTGTTATAAAATACTGAGCAATTATATATAAGCTTTCAGAAATTGCTATCACGGCATAATGAGGCAAATATATTGACATATTAGAAAATGGTTATTCATGACACTGTATTAGCTATTAATTTATTATGACATGTTTATATGGTTGACAAAAGGACTGATTATTTTATGATTGATTTGTTGAGTTTTTAAAATGAAGTCTCTTTCAAAGAGTTTCCTGCGAACTTACTCTGCTTTCTTATTTATCATAAAATTTGACTTGAATTTGAATACTTTTCTTTTTCCTAAATAAAACGAATCATGAATAATTATTCTATTTTAAATAATTTCGTTAGATTTTCTAAGGCAAAATAATATTAAAAACACATTTAATTATAAGATTATTTTGAGTGAAGAATAAATGTTGTTGATCATTTTCTAAGAAACAAAGCCAGGATACAAATGTTGCATTAAAAATATGTTTTTATAACTTTTTTTCCCACAGCATAATATTGATTTCTTAACACCTTGTATATACATATTAGTGAAATGCACTTAAAACAGAAAATAAAACTGTTCTATGTAAAAGCTTCCGTATCTTATTTGAAATCGTGTAAAACGGCGACAGTCTCGTTCTCTTTTCTTCAGAATGTTTTCATAACAAATTGAACTATTATAACGAACTTATCATGAATAAACATCTAATTATGAATTCTCATTTATTACTATCGAAGTTTGATGATATCTATTTTAGGCAAATACCCATAATATCTGATTTTGGATATGAGTTAATGACACTTTAGTGCAAATGAATGGTAGTTGTAATGCAGTTCAAGCTAGATGTCAACCAAGAAAAAGTGAGAATAGATTTCCTAATTCAATATCAATGAAAAATGATAATTTAGTGAACATACTATGCACTCATAGAGATAATAAAGACATAATATATTCAACTCGTAGATTATATATTTTAAATCATTATTTACAATCACAATCGAATATTGCTGTAGTCACGCAACTGTACTTATTTCTAATATTGAATAAATTTCAAACAAAGCTGAAACAATCTACTTTTCAAGAGAGATGACTTTTGTTTTTAGTTTGAAAAACCTATTAAATTCCTTTCATGATGAAAAAAATAATTATAATGGCTTCAACCAAAGCAAATAATAATTTCAGTAAATACAAAGAAAAATAATATAAATGTCTTTTTCTTTTTTTTTTCTCTCGACTATGTATCAAATATTTTCTGTCAATGTCGATTTAATCCCATGATAATGAATCATCTAAATGCATCTATCGATATTCTAATATTTATTTTCGACTATTATAACAAATCTCATCACATTCAGTTCTTCCATTCTTTCTTCAATTTGTAAGTCAATAAAAAAAAATTCCATCTATAAATAATTCTTTCTAGTTTACTTTATATAAAAATAAAATAGAAAAGAGAGAGAGAGAGAGAAAAAGAGCATTGATTAAAAAAAGAGAAAGATTGAAGTGAATAGAAAGAATAATAATACTATTATTGTGCACTTCATCGATGTAACAACTGAAACAAACAAAAGTGCATGTCTACAGAAACAATACCTCATCAATTGGATAAATTTAGTGAAACATCTGCCGTAGTTGGAATAGGCAAAACACGTGAAGAATACTTGAAGTTATTTTCACGGTAAATAATAAATGCTAATTGTATTTTCTATCAATAATAAATAATTCTTAGAGCATGTATTTCACCAGAAAATGATCGACCATATACAAATCCAATGTCAGGATTTTATGATGCAATAAATACAAGTACAAGTTTAATTTTACTTAACCAACGTTTTAAATATGTAAGAAAAATCATTGATAAAAATAAATAAAAATTTTATTTTATTTTTAGTCACATTTACGTGAACAAACTTTATTTGAAGAACTATCCAATTCAGCTGGAAACGAATTCGATTACGAAAGTATAATTGAAGTTGAACAACCACAACTAAAATATACAAAGTTCGTTGTTTATTATCAATAAGTCGATATCTATTATTTGAAAACATATCTATAGAAAAAGTCGTTCACCAAGCATTTCAATCGATCCACACCGTCATTTTGAAAGTATTTTTATTTAGTCTTGTTCTACTTTCTTTGCTTTTTTAATTGTCATTCAGGGTCAAACCAAATATTGGCATGATCGTCGATGTACAAGTTCATGTTTAATGAATCATTCAACAGATACTTCTCATACTGAAGCGAATCTGATGACACAACCTCGTTAGTTTAATTTTAATTTTAATTTTAAGTAAAACAAAACCTCTCTTCTTTGTTTTTTGATCAAGGTAAATCACATATGAAACCAAGACGATCTGTATCTGTTAATTGTCGTTCACCATCTGGTATATTCAGACAAGATAAATGTCATCAAGAACTTCAACCTGATTCATCTTTTGCTGAATCTGTTTATCAATATTATCATGATGCAGTAGAAAACTCGAAACAATCAGAATTTAATTTACAACAATGTCAAATAAAAGAATCAATTAATCAACCTTTAAAATCAACTGGAATTCGTCGTAAATTACCATTAACAAAAGGTCAACAATTATCTTTATTAGAAAAATATCATGTAAAAACAAAAGAAAGAAAAACAAAAGAGATTTTCATTACCATATATTTATTTGTATAAATTTAGATTTATGATATAAAAGATACTAAAGTACGGCGAAGCCATTCTTATTCTCAAACTTTAAGTGATCGTTTGAAAGCAGGTAGGAAGTTATTTTTTGTTCGATGAAGCGAAAATAGTCATCTAGTTATTCCAAATATGAATCTCTGATCTTAAAATATGCTCGTTTAAATATCGAAGACAAAGGGATTTTTTTTCTATGAGAATACCATTTGCATATGGAATTTGATTTAATAACAAGAAATTTCGAGTCTTGATAGTTACTAAAATCCTAATAGATCTCAATATAATTCCAGTATTAGTCGCTGCATTTGTGCTGAACAAGAGAACAGTTGAGAGTACTTGCAAAGAGCTCAAAGCAATTGACCGGCATCTCGATGATCGCTATTATTTTCCTGGCGTTCGCCCAAGCATCAGTTTAATATGTGTATTAATCTGTTTCTTATACCTTGTATTTATGATATTATATATGTTTGTGAGTAATTCTAGTAAATGTACTGAATTCAACAGTATGTCGCAAAATTCTGCTTTGGTACCCTGCTGAGAATGGTTCTTGGTATATAGATATTCATCAAGCATCCATCTAGATATCTGTCTAGTTTTCATAACATTCCATGAAAAACTTTTTAACAAGTTAGTAGATTGAACAATTAGAGGCATTTTATAGTCCAGTACTGGAATTACATAAAGTATCCAAAGGTTCCTGGGATATACTAGCAGCAGGATATTCTGAGCTCAGTACATTCACTAGGGTACCTGATAATAATTAATAATTATTTTTTCACTAAAAACTTTCTCTGTTATTTATCCTATAGTTATAAATATTGTCTGTATATTTGAAAGATTAAGGAAAAGAAGGGTGAAAACATTTGTCTCATGATGTATGGAGTAAAATGGCCTTCCTGTGATCAGCAACAGCAACTACATCGTGTTTGACCTTTTAATCTTGCATTGATTGTACTAACAGCTTTCACATGACATATTTCATGAATTGAAAGCACAGCGTCAAGTCTACGGAAGACTTAACGATTTTCTTATATTCTCATCAAGATTTATTTATGAAGAACGAATAGAATCGAAATTGCAATATGATTTAGGTTTATTTCTTAATTAGGTTTACCTGTCAACAAAGAATTCCTTTAAAAAAATGATTTATTTTAAATCTATACAAAATTTATAATATTCACTATTGTTTAATTTTTAATTTTAGATTTCAATTGCAAACCGCAATTTCGTGAGTAACTATAATACGAAATAAACTTTCTATAAAATCGATAATAAAATAAACATTCAATAATTTTTGATTAGGTTTAAATGATATGCGTGATTATAGTAAATATGCAAAATTTCTTCAAGTACCTCGTTCGTTAACTCCAAGTTCTTTTTGTATTCAATCAAACGATAATACAAAACAATTGTAAAAGAAAAATTTTAACGAGAAATTATTTACTTAAGTCTTATTTTTAGGACAAATAATAATCTTCAGAAACCATTTACTATGAATAATAATACAATTTCTCTTCCTATTCTTCGTCATCAAGAACCACAACAAATTTCAACACTACCTATTCACAGTTAAATAAACACTTTGAGCTTGTTTTTTTTATTTGAAAAATAAAAATAAAACAGAAAAAAAAAACAAATTATTGTTTGTTTTCTTTTTATTCAGTTTGAATAGGGTCATTAATAATTTCTGATGATAAATCTTTGTATTCATAAGTATACTCATATTGTTCAACATGGGAATTAACGAATGGCAAAAATGAAAAATCTTTATATGTATGTTTTAATATCAATTTATTATTTTTTATTGGAATACTCCAATTGTTTCTACATGTTGGAAATGACCATATTAGGCGAACAGACTTTTTATTTTCATCTCCATAAATTTTAATACGTTCAATTAATTTTTGACACATATAATTTCCTGCATCATATAGATAATCATCAAACTTAGAATTTAATTGATATAATTGTACCATAAATATCGGTATTTCAGAATTATTTAGTATTTGTAAACAAGCCGATGCAATAGGTGTAGTATTATTTGAATAAATAATATAACGTTCCATGTCATCACGTTTTTTAAGCATTATATTAAAAAAATTCTTTTTATCGCGTTCAAATAATGTTTGATAACGCACAGTTGAACCACATAGTAATATGATCAAAGGACCAATTGTACGAAACAATGATCCTATATAACTATAACCGAAATTTTCCATTTGATAATTAACTATTATTATTGTTGTAATAAATAGCCAACCATTACTAAATGGTACATTAACAATTGATGAAAATATATTTTTAGTATCATCATCAAGTAAATATTTCCAATCCATTTCAAACTTATCAACTGGTTCATTTTCATTATCCGTTCTAATGAAGAAAAACAAAATTTTATTTCGATTTCAATTATTATGAATAAGACTTTAAAGGTATTCTAGACTAGAGTAGACTCAAACATTTGTTTCTCATTCGATCAGATTGATGGATTTAGGGACCATATATCGATAACGGCTCGTTACAATGTATTAATTACTTCCTTATTGCATATGCGAAAGATAAAGTAAAAGAAGAGTGAAGAAATATATCCCAAGATATAAAGAATAAAAAAAAGTCTTCTTATGATTAACAACAACCGCTACATTGTACCTCACGTGTTTGTCCTGAAGAGATTACGGTAAAAGCTTTTTTTAATTCTTAAATTTTGAGCCCTATATAACCAATGACTTTAAATAGCATTCTGTTGTTGCAACTGAAACGAAGTATACTAGAAATTCATGTAGATAAACTACACGCTGCTAGAAACTTTCTTCATCTTTAGTCACTAACTTTACATTCTAGAGTCCTACGGGATGAATAGAATTTTTCTGAATTTTTTTAATCCTTATATCACAACATGTCGTACACTTCAAATTTTTTATTGCTAACAGGTATCTTAATTTTTAAATAAATGCGCGATCTTATACGACATTTGATATTTGTAGATATCAGGCTTTCGTAGAGAAAATCATAATGAATTTCAATCAGATTCAACTGTCTTGACTTAGCTAACAAATTAAGAAATAATAAATCCGAACCAACTATTGCCATATAAAGAAACTATTCCATATAGCATGTAAAATATCAATGGTATTTTTCAGATTGGATTAAGCACGATCAAATAAGAAAATTCTCAAGTATTAATTACCGCTTTTTACATTTTTATAGCATCTGAAAGCAATCGAATTTTTAAAAAATGCATTTCAAATGTGCACTTATCACATGCTCAGAATCTTGGCATACTTTTGCTCATTTCGAAATAATGGTTAGGTGTGAAGAACAAGTGGTTGACATCAGCTGTAAGTACTGTATCGAGAAAGAGAAGAATATATGATGATTAGTTAGCGAAATCACAAGCAATAAGTCAGCTACTTCACGTTGTGCAATCAGTCACCTTCCAGTTAACAGGACAAATGGGATTGAGTATACGAAAAATTTTGTTTTGCAGAACTCAATTACTTGCCTAAGAAATATTTTCAACTAAGTGAGGAAATCCATAATGGAATTTTTATCTTTGTTGGGAACGCTGCTGAATTACTATTGTATTTTTTCAGTAACACTAATAAAAAAAACTCTTTCTCCAAGAGTAAAGATTAATTAAAGACAAAGTTTGGCATGTTTCTTCCAATGGATGGTTTTTGATGCAGGATACGATTTTTTTCCGAGCCATATCAATTTTATACAGTGCAATAGAGAAGTTGGAAAAAAGTAGTACTAACTATGGTTCATCCAAATAGCTTAAAATAACTATTACATATTTAATGTGTAAACTTTGTAGAAAATTCGAATATATCCTTAATTAATTCGTTTCATCTTAGAATTACATTGAATCGAACAATCAAAGTCTTTAGAGAAATGTTGAAATTTATAACAAAAGAAAACATAATGAACAGTGGTTTATTCAATCATTTTGTGCCATTTTACATTGATCTCTTAATAATTCAAAGAAAATGAAACCAAATCAAATTATTTGACTTTCTAGCAATTTCTTTATTAACCATCAAAAAACGAGTAAGAAATGCGACTTCAGTATACGATTGAGTTGTTTCGTGTGAGATGTCAATTAGTTCAATTATTGGTTGTATTTTCATTTAAAAAAAGTCAGTTTCTAAGTATTCACCATAAGATTGCTAGTTTTAGAGGACACTAAGAGGCGTGCAGCTATTTTCATAACTACTTCTATTTCGACAAACCTTGTAGATTTTTCTAATTTTATGTAATATTTCGAGCTACCGAAAAGACCAGTTCTCGATATTTTGCATCAGTATGCCTGCTTCATCGATTGCATTAACAGGATTAAAGCTGAGCTTCTTTCCACAATGAATGATACTGAGTCTCCGAATCAATCCAATCGTTCAAGTTTGTCAGAAATGTCTTACAGGCTTCAGAAGACAGTTTTAGGATTTTCAAAGTTCAAATGTAATGTTACACTCTGGTCTTTTAATATGTTTCAGTAGAAAACTCGACATATTTTGACGTAAACCTACTAATTAAAGTTGCAATTATACAAAAAGTTAATTCATTATAGAGAGTCTTCTAATACGTTTGACGCATCGTTCCTCCAAGGAATGTTTTCTATTACAAAGAATGGTTTCTAAAAAAATGTACATGTGATTATTTATTAATCTTTTGCATATGACATTTACTAGTTGAAATGATAATTAATTTAGAAAAGCTTGATATTAAAACTAAATTTCGAAGTTTTCTTATTCATAAGCTGCAAAATTGATCTCATGAGGATCCCGGACTGCTGACTGCAGTTCAAATAAGGCTATTGAAATACATTTCGATTGAAAGTAAATGTTAATTCACTTCTTTTTCTAATCTATGCATCTTTCTATAAGACGATATCTATATCAACGTTAATTATGTACCATCGATAAGAAAAAAAGCATTCATTTCCATTATATTCTAGTTCTAATTCATATTGTGACTTAACTTGAAAATATTCAGAATTTTTTCCTAAAACGACAGATTTAACATAAAGACAAAGAAAAATTCAAATGAGATATTATTTGAAATGTAGATAAATTTTACTAATAACAATACAGAAATTTCCTTCTTATTTTCAACATGAATTGTATTGAAATAACCTCTGTTGCAAAAGTCTTTGCACAAAATATTCGTTCACTTTTTGACCACTTGAAAACAACTAGTGAAGACCAAAAGTAGTTAGTTGGAATCAGAATTTTGTGCTCTATCAGAATATATACTTCGAATTTTTTTCTAACTTAAGGATGGTTCACTGCAAGCAAATGTTTGAAGGGACCGAAATAATTATCCGTACAAAGCAAAATACTCTTTTTTTGCAATCCGCTACTTTTCCAGACTATACTTAAGCGCGGTTTTAATTAGGCGTTTTTGTAGAGCATTCAATTCTGTACAAAACTGGGTATTATAATAGAGTAGAACTAAAAACTATCAAAAGTTACAGATGTTTTCCTAGGTGCTACTTTCAACGTAAAACAGTTTTTGTCAAAAAATCGATTTTTGGAAATCCACCTGTTCGAATGTAGCCGATTTCGAGCCAATTTGACGATTTATAAAAAGATGAGTGGATATGGGTTTTGCACAGAAAATTTTTCTCTACAAACTGCCATATGAACAGACGTTTCATTTGTTCAATTAACTAAGCTTTAACCAAAATACAAAATTGGCAGAAATAGGATTCTGTACAAACTAAATTTTCGGCTAATTCAAGTATTTGCTCAGAGTGAATCAACCTTAGGTTAGAAAAAAATTCCAAGTATATATTCTGATAGAGCACAAAATTCTGATTCCAACTAACTACTTTTGGTCTTTACTAGTTGTTTTCAAGTGGTCAAATAGTGAACGAACATTTTGTGCAAAGACTTTTGCAACAGAGGTTATAATTTAGATTTTCTTATTCATTTTGGTTTTTGATATTTTATGTATAATTATGAGTTTTTCTATTCAATCTCTCGTGAATAATTGTTTTTATCCGATAAAAAAATTATATTTTGAATTGAATTCTATTGTAAAATAAAACTGTATGTTTTACTAACTTTATAGGCATCGTCGTTGGTGATTGCCATGTCAATTGATCAAGAAAAATTTTTTCGTCTAGCTTTTTATTAGCTAGACGAGCATTGAGCCATATACGTTGCAAATAACGAACTGTTTTCGATAAACAAAAAGCCGAACAAATGAATGATATAACACCATTAAAACCCAACCAGTAATTAAAAATATGTAATAATACTGAATACAGTGTTAAATTGACAGCTGATAATGAAATAGTACGTATTGCAGCAAATAATACTTGAAATAAAGGAATCAACATATCTGTTATTTTCAATGATTATTAATAGATATAACTTATCTAAATATAGAATGTAACAAAATCATTCATGATAAGAACAAAGTAAAACCTGTATTTCTAATGCAATCGAAAAAAACAAATATTAATAGAACCTTATGAAACAATTTTCTTAATAAACTTGAATTTTGCTAAAAATTAATTTTGGTTTTTTATTATCACTGAACGATCTAACATTGCTATTCAAAATCAATTTGAGTCAAACAATGAATAAATACATAAGATAAAGTAGAGTCATTAGATTATTTGCTAATGTTAAATATTTTGACAAAATTTTCTATAGAATTTCAAGAGTAACAGAGTGCATAAATGATTAAAATATATAATCGAATAATCAAACGTTTATTGGACTGTTCGAACTATTAGGATAAACGTGTTTTTCTTTTTTGCAACATGAATGAGATTTATGTAGGACAAAAAAAACTTTCAGAATTACTGCTCACTAGTCCTCCAATTAAAATCCGTGAAAATGTATTTCTCAAGATAATTTTCAATCAAGAAAAAAAAATCATACCAAAATTTTCATTCCATCTATTCTTATACCTTATATACTTAATTAAAAAATAATCTAAGTCGATTATAATAGTCTACAAAAATAGACAATGAATAAAAATGATCAAACATCATTTATCGCTCGATTGATTTCATTACTTTTTACACGTTGCTATAACATCACTCTACTCACTCATATACAGAACAGAATAAAAAGAAAAAAAAATAAAGAAAATGCATCGATTTCACGTCGTGTACGTTTTTTTATTCGTACATCGAAACGAAAATTATTCTCGAGAACGATACCAGCTGTATTTGAAGAAATGGAAGAAAAAAAACACCAACCAATGGCACACACAAATATATCCTTGACTGAATAAAAAAATTAATGCAAAGAAATATTCGTGGTATCAATAGAAGATTTTTTTTTTGAAAATGAATCACTGATAAATGAAAATGATCTAATTTGCATTTTTAAAACTCTCAAAACATGTTTGATCATCAATTGTTGAACCAACTTTTACTTTAGTAGCAGTTATTGTCGATATTGAACATATTTCTTTAAAGAGATATTTAATATTAGCAAGAATATAAAGAGAACATAGTAATAATAGACTGTCAGAAACATAAGTTGTCTTTTCATCAATTGATCAATATGCTATTATTAAAAATACGACATTCATACTGATGATATACATGAAAAACGAAACTAACCGAATGTGATACACACAGTGGACAAGTGGCTTGGGCAAGTATTTGTAAATTTCTGAATATTCAAAAAGTAGTATCTTCTTCACTTTATAAACCTTTATAAGAAAAATTAATAAGAATATTATTAACAAAAACAAACGATAAACCTCTACAAATTATATTTTGATACAAAACTATGATACCATTGATCAAATGATCAAAACAAAATTTGGCCGTAGAAAAGTCAATAAAAAAAATATATCGAAATAGAAAGAAGGTCGAACAATGTTTTAGAAAATTCTAACTAGCAAGACATTCTTTTATTGTTTGCGGTGATATTCACATTGTAAAAGAGAATATACAGTAGTCGACAGACAACTTTATCACGAAACTTATGTAAATCAATTTTTTTCTTTATCTGTAGATGGCCGTAATAGTCAATCATTATAATCAAGTGATTAGTCAAATTTATATGTAATTTTGCTGAACATTCATTAGACGTATATTTCCAATATTTCGTTGTTGTTTCAATTTGAAAACATCACCATCTGATAAGAGCAAAGATCTTCTACTTTTTGAATTAATACATGAAACAATTGACAATGATCACCAATCTACATATACATTTGGTTAAATTGAGCCGGCTATCTTCATGATGATGAACTTTTAGCTATCTTTCCGACTATTTGAGTGAATCTCTAGTCGGTAGTAGTTATCACAGTTACTACCATAGATGTTAAGTGAGACTACAAATCTGCTGTTGTCACAATGATTTTCGAATAATTCTTAGAAAATTTCTCCTATTATTGTGCTAAATTAGCAGAATTAGATTGAAATCATCAGATTCGCTACGATTCTGACTAATGAACTTGCAGACACTCAAATCGAATGCAAATTCATACAGTTTTGCCATCACTCAAAAAAGAAGCTGTTGCTATCACGATAGTATTTTGAAATATCTTCCACGCCGCTGGCATCGTTGTGGTGATGGTAGCATTGCCATGAATATCTCTGTTTATTAGTGATTACAGGTAAAAACTCATAGAATAATGAGAAAAGCAATAATAAACCATAGACCATTAAGACCAACGTTGACATGATACATCTTTTTATTTTTTCTGTACTTTTTGGTTGCAACATGTTTCATTGCGACCTTTATGCATTACACCCAAAAAAACTACTTTATCGTACAAGGTTTTTCAAATATTCTAATATTTCATAGAGTGATGTTTCAAAAAAATGTAAGAATCTTCTTTTTTCATTTAGTTGCACAGACAGGTTTTTCTGATGTTTGCCAAGTCGATATATGCTACTACGAACATAATCTATCACTAAATTAGTTTTTAAAAATTTCTTGATCAAAAATGTAAAAGCAGCGTTTTTCGTGATAATTCAGGTCATTTTCGATATCTGCTAATAAATAGCATAATTTTCATGTTAAAAATTCTATTAGAACTAATAGCCAGTGAAAAACAACATTCCACAGTCGGTTTTAAATAATTTTTTTTTTTATCAATAATATATACAAAACTTGCAGTTTTTAGTATGACCTTCTATCTGACCGAGAGTGTAACAAAAGAGAAGATAGGTGACTTCGCATTCGAATTAGAACCAAGAATTTTATATTATAAAAAAAAACAAGACACATAATACCGACACGAGCCAAAAAATGAAAGAACTGATTTCAATCTAAAACTGACCGCCTGTTCATGCATCTAATCACGTATTATCCCTCAAAATGGCTCATTTTTCAAAAGATAACTCATGATAAGTTTTCAGCTTTATACAGATAAAATAATAACGACATAACTACGAAAAATTGCAAAACCAAAATCGAATTAAGAAGAAATGAAATTTTTATATCATTCAAGACGAATGGTTCATTTATAGTCCATGCTGCAGCTCTACAGCGAAATGATTGTGCTCAAATTTAACTATGTCAATATCATAATCAATATTTGCATAAACTATTTTTGTGCTTTTCTGAAAACAAATTTTACTGAATTAGTATCGAGAAGTAAGCAGTTAAACATCTGAAGTTTTTCGATAGGAAAGTTTCTTTTACTATTTGATCAACATGAACATTGCTCGAATTATAATAATATATTTTGACTTATAACTGAATTCATCATCCAGCATTGTGATATGAAATATAAGAATTTTTTTAATGATTCAAGAATAGTTTGACTGAATGTTATTAGATATGTCGTACGTAGGTGACTTGTTTCTTATCAAATCTAAACAATCTTTTCATAGAGATACTTGCATGCAAGTTTGAAAAAAGAGTCATCTGATTTTATCTATAAAAACCTCGTTCTTCTTTATATAACATGGGATCATTTTCAAGTACAACATATTTATAAAATAACGAATGGTACAAAGTTCTATATGCATTTTGTCTTCAGTAAGCATAACAAAATGTCTGCGTGCAGACTTGATGGTTTTTTTTCTTAATCTCTACTGCAAATTTGTATAAAATGCTCATGGAAGGCTGCAAAGTTTATAGGACTGCAAAAGATTTCTGCATTCTTCTCGAATTTAGTAGAAAACCTCTATCCACTAAAACAGTTTGCCTTATTTTTCGTATTTAATCTTGCTTTGTAGTACTAGGATAGTGCATTGTGAACAGGTAAAAATAAAATTTTCCTACTATAAATTGAATCTGAAATCAACATTTTTCTAAGTCTTTGCTAGCAAAAAATGTTCACAACTAGTAAGTAATTTCGAAAAATTCGAAATTTTTCTAACAACCAAAGTGCGTCAAAATCTCAATATTTTATGTTCAAATAAAGATTAGTGAGGGGGAGGGGGAAATCAAGTAGTAAGATACGATATACTTTGTAGACGAAGCATATCGATCTTATTGAGAAAAATAGAAAAACAATACGAGCAAGAAGATAAAGGAACATCCAGAATAATCTTCTTTTCGGTTAAAAGTTCAATATCAAAATGTCCTTAAATTAACTGCGAGGGTATGAAGAACAGAAACAAAGAAAACAAACGTATGTATAGACTGAAGACAAAATGAAGAAGAATAGATAGAAAAGAGAAAAAGATAGAGAATAAGCCAAAGAGAACGTTAAATAGGTGTATGTATATAACGATTTAAGAAATAATCCTCGTTCGTTAACTATATAATATAAGGTCTTAATAAAACTATTTCCTATGAAACCTATAATTTTGTGATTCCAATATTTTGATATCAATAGAAATCCTGCATCGCATTTGATAAACTTAAATTTATAGCGTGTTTACCCAAGCAGCCAAAAATTTTAGATAACACGTTTAAATGCTCTAATCGTTAGTCCCCTTTGAACGCTTTCACGTTCATACAGAAAGCCAGCAAACAGTATACAGACTTAGTAAACGACATCCTTTACGTTCACAATTCTTTGTATACAATATGGAGAAATACAGCTGTAATATGAAATCATATTATTTACTTCAATATGACGATTTATAGTCGATTTTGAGTGCCTTTGTTCGACCTGAAAAACACCTAAACCAGATACTTTCATCATCAATGGTCAATAAAAACGACTTTGCCATCTGGAAAATGTCCGAAAATTATTCTCACATTATTTTTGACATGCATCATGTATAAAAAAAAGTCGTTTTATCTGCAAAACACATCAAAATATTTTGGAAAAATCTTCACAAGTGTTTCAGATACAAGACTTATCTTTTTAAGTATTTTCATGCTTCGTTTATGATGAAAGTAACTGGTTTTAGTGTTCTCTGAAAGGATGTAAAAACGCTCAAGCGGGAACAACAATTAGGGT